GACCTTTTACCCCTCCCCTTACCTATTCCCCCCCCCACCCTTTGATTATGCATTTTTAACTTCATTCTAGAAATCCTGAACCTTAGCTATTACTGGTATTATACTGTACTATATTTATCCCCTTTCCCTTCTTTTCCTCATTTCACATATTCTAGGTATACCTCTGAATTTTTAAACTGTACCCACTTTTCCCAACTTGTAGGAAATACCTCCATTTTATTTTCCTCCATATGGTAAAGTTCCTCCATTCTATATATCTTCTCCACTCTTTCTCCCCAATCGTTTATTTTCGGTGCCTGTTGTTTCTTCAAAAAAACTTGGGTATCAGTCCCTTCACTGCATTTAAATAATACAATAATCCAGTTTTTTTTATATTTTTTAACCGAAAAACTCGGTACCAAAAAGCAGGCAAGTCTCAGGGTCGTTAAGAATATTTACCTCTGTTATTTCCTGAATTATATTCACTATGCCCTCCCAGTATTCTTGAATTTTGTGACACTCTCACCATAAGTGTATCATTGTACCTCTCTCTTCACATCCCCGCCAACATAAAGGTGAGTTATCTCCACTTATTCTATGCGCTACATTCAGTGTAATATACCATCTTACTAAACACTTATAATTCATTTCCATTTCCTTCATATTTACATTCCCGTGAATTAAACTATATATTTTCTTTCACAATTGATATGATCCAGAAATATTTAGACAGCATAAAGGTGAATAAAGAACCTGGACCGGATGGCATACACCCACGGGTCCTTAAAGAATTGAGTTCTGTCATTTCAAACCATTGTTTCTAATTTTTAGGGAACCTGTAATGACTGACTGGCATACAAAGAACCATCGGGGAGCTCTTGTCCATAATGGGCATGGTATTGACACAGCTCCAGATGATCCACATTGGCTCACAATTGATATGATCCAAAAATATTTAGACAGAATAAAGGTGAATAAAGAACCTGGACCATATGGCATACACCCACAGGTCCTTAAAGAATTGAGGTCTGTCATTTCAAAGCCATTGTTTCTAATTTTTAGGGACTCTTTAATGACTGGCATAGTACCACTGGATTGGTGTAAGGCCAATGTGGTGCCAATATTTAACCGTTTCAATACCGTGCAATTTTACACCTTCCTGCCCAGGCCATTTTTCAGGTTTCAGCACTCTCACACTTTGAATGACAATTGCGCGGTCATACAACAATGTACCCAAACTAAAATTTTATCATTTTCTTCACACAACTAGAGCTTTCTTTTGGTGGTATTTAATCACCGCTGGGGTTTTTATTTTTTGCTAAATTAACAAAAAAAGACCAAAAATTTTGAAAAAAAAACACATTTTTCTTTGTTTCTGTTATAAAAGTTTACAAATAAATAATTGTTCTTCATAAATTTAGGCCAAGATGTATTCTGCTACATGTCTTTGGTGAAAATAACCCAAATTAGTATGTATTTTTTAGTTTGTAGGAAAGTTATAGAGTTCACAAACTATGGTATAGATCTGAATATTGATCAATCCTGAAGTACTGACAGCCAATCTAATATCTTGAGGTCCAAGAATGTCAGAACAGTACAGATATCCCCCAAATGACCCCTTTTTGCAGAGTAGACAGTCCGACGTACTTCATAAGAGGCATGGCGAGTTTTTTGAAGTTGTATTTTTTTGTCATAATTTTTCGGAAAATGAAAAAATTAAAAAAATTATTTTCACTATTTTTTTTTTTACATACTGTCACCAGTGCAGTACAGCGTCATCATATAACTGGCATGGCGGTGAACAGCGACACTGACTGGTGACAGTATGAAAAAAATATATATTTTTTTTTTTTTTTTTTTTTTTATTATGTTTAATTTTTTATTACATTTTTTTTTTTTTTTTTAAGATTTTTTTTCATATTTTACTATGACCAAAATAGTACAATGTTACCATAGTAACATTGTACTACTTTGGGGAAGTGATCAGTATTTTTTTTTTTTTTACACAATTTGCCTATAGCAAAGAATTACTTTGCTATAAGCAAGCATTTACCTGAATGAAGTCGATTCATTCAGCTTTTTTTTTTTTTTTTTTTTTTTTTTTTTTGTGCTTAGCTGTGATTTGGTCACAGCTAATCACATGACATGTGCATGTGATTAGCTGTGGCCATTCACAGCTAGGCACTAGTATACAATGGATGGCATCATGAATGAAGCCATCCATTGTATACAACTGTCATGTGACCTGCTGTGATTGGTCACAGCAGGTCACATGGTACCGGCAACGGGAGCCGGTACTCGGATCTGTCATCGGCCGTGTCCGAGGTGCACGGGCGGTGACAGATCGCACTGCTGCGTCGCTCTGCAACCGCGCAAACCGCGCATGTGCGGGAGCACGCCAAATGGCGTGCACCCGGAATACAGGAGCACATTTGAAGCCGCCAAACGGCCATTGGCCGGGCGGCTAATGGTTAAAAAGGAGTCAAAATCTTTACCAAGTAATTATAGACCTGTTAGTTTAACTTCTATAGTTGGGAAGATACTGGAGAGTTTAATAAAAGACCACATAGATGAGTTCTTGCTGGGAAAAAATATTTTAAGGAACAGACAGCATGGATTCATGAAAGACAGAAGTTGTCAAACAAATCTGATTTCTTTTTATGAGGAGGTAAGCAAAACCTTGGACAGAGGGGTGGGCGGTGGACGTGGTATACTTGTATTTTGCAAAAGTGTTTGACACAGTTCCCCACACACAGCTAATGTGTAAGGTAAAGTCTACAGACTTGGAAAAATCAATATGTAAATCGATAGAAAACTGGCTAAAAGATTGTATTTAGAGAGTAGTGGTTAATGATTCATACTCTGAATGGTCTAGGGTTGTCAGTGGTGTACCCCAAGGTTCAGTGTTGGGACCCTTACTTTTTAATATATTTATAAACGATATAGGGTCTGGGATTAAAAATCCCATTTCAGTCTTTGCAGATGACACCAAGCTGTGCAGTGGAATAACGTCCTTACAGGATTTGTCCAATTTACAAGCTGACCTCAATGCACTGTTTAATTGGGCAACTATGTGGCAAATGAGGTTTAATGTTGATAAATGTAAGGTTATGCACTTGGGGGCTACGAATATGCATGCATCATACATACTAGGGGGAGTACAACTGGGGGAATCAATGGTGGAGAAGGATCTGGGAGTTCTGTTAGATCATAAGCTTAATAATGACATGCAATGCCAAGCTGCGGTTTCTAAAGTGAACAAAATCCTCTCTTTTATTAAAAGAGGTATAGACTCCAGAGAGAGAGATATCATATTACCCCTGTACAAATCATTAGTAAGACCTCATCTGGAATATGCAGTTCAGTTTTGGGCACCAATTCACAGAAAGAACATTGGGGAACTGGAGAAAGTACAGAGAAGGGTAACCAAACTGATAAGATGCATGGAGAAACTCAGCTATGAGGAAAGATTAGAGGAACTGAATTTATTCTCTCTTGAGAAGAGGAAATTAAGGGGTTCAGTGGTTCATATAGTGAACTCGGTGTAGAGCTATTCACCCTGAGGTCATCACAGAGGACAAGGGGGCACTCTTTACATCTGGAGGAAAAGAAATTTAATCTCCAATTATGGAAAGGTTTCTTCACAGTAAGAACTTTGCAAATGTGGAATAGACCCCCTCAAGAGTTGGTTCTGGCCAGCTCAGTGGATTGCTTTAAAAGAGGCCTGGATTCTTTCTTGGATACATAGAATATAACTGGATACTAATATTTATAGTTAAATTTGATCCAGGGAATATCCGATTGCCTCTCGGAGGATCAGGAAAGAATTTTTCCCCTGCAGGAGAAAATTGGATCATGCTTTGCTGGGTTTCTTTTTTTGCCTTCCTCTGGATCAACTGTGGGTGTAGGATTATAACTTTTTTTTTTTTTTATTGTGGTTGAACTGCATGGACTTTTGTCTTTTTTCAGCCAGACTAACTATGTACATCCACTAGTCCATAGAAATACACAGGTGATTATATGTAATTATTAGTGGAGCACGACACAATTTTACATATCACTTTTCATCTGTAAATGGACAGATGAAAAATGGACATACGGAACGCCCGTTGTGAAAGGGGCCTTAGGATATTTTGCTGGGAAAGTAATACTGGTGGTTATTATTTACTAAAACTGGAGAGTGCAGAATCTGATGCAGTTCTACACAGAAATCAAACAGCTTCCAGGTTTTATTGCCAAAGCTTAATTGAACAAGCTGAGGTTAAAAGCTGATTGGCTACTGACAGGGAAACCCAAAACTCATGGGTTTCAGTAACATTTTAACTGCTGAAGCCAGACTGCAAAAAAGATGTGTTTATTGTACAAGCATGTAGTTAGAACTTCATGCAGGGAGAACATAGTGTTGGATTCAAAAAGTAGTGCTCTAACTGGCTTGGAAATCTAAAACAATTGTTATGTCCCAGGATAGGCAGAAACCCAGCTATCTGACTTTCTTTGAAGTTCCATCCTTATCACTGGTGGAATTTATTGAGGGGATAGTGGTCATTCAACAGAGGCTTGTCACTTCCATTGGCTCTTTGAGGGAACAGGTCTTCAAAGGCAGAGAGCAATCTTCCCAGCTGGAGATGTAGATAGCATTCTAACACAAGAAATACATCTGTTACACAATAAGACTTCTAATAACAAAACATACATGCAACATATCCCCTTAATCAAAAACGAAGTGTTTGATATATAAAATGGCTGTTCCATTTTCCCCCATACTACCATGCACAGCTGCACCAGATTCAAAGTGCAACAGTTGTAGTAAATCTCCCCCACTGTTAGGTATATATGAAACAGACTGTTACATGGCATCTTTGAGTAGAATACAGCTGAATATGGTGTTAGAGATCAAGTGCACCCAATATCCTGGGTGACTTTCAATGCAGGGGTGACACACTGTCTCACTGCTTATCAGGGAAGGACTGACCATTTGGAAACTCAGGCAGTGCCCGAGGACCATGAGATGCCCCTGGTACCTTTTTCATAGGCTTTTTTGAGTTTGGGCAAGGACACAGGGGCCCCATGATCCCCTATTGCCCGGGGGCCCCATGAGTTGTCAGTCCGCCCCTGCTGCTTACAGTAAAACAGCACACATCACACAGTTAACCCTTTGATCGCTCCGCATGTTAACCCCTTCCTGCCCAGTGCCATTATTACAGTGTCAGTGCTTTTTATTAGCACGATCACTGTATTGGTGTCACTGGGGATGTCAGTGACACCAAGTCAGTTCCCCCCAGTGTCAGGATGCCCGCCGCAGTCCCACTATAAGTCCCTGATTGCTGCCATTACTAGTTTTTAGCAAAGACATGTAGCAGAATGCATTTTGGCCTACATTTATGACGAAATTGGATTTTTAAAAACATTTTTACTGGACATGTTTAATAGCAAAAAGTCAAATATAGTTTTTTTGTCAAAATTGTTGGTCTTTTTTTTCTATAGCGCAAAAAATAAAAAACGCACAGGCGATCAAATACCATCAAAAGAAAGCTCTATTCATGGAAAAAAAAGAACGTAAATTTCATTTGGGTGCAGTGTTGCATGACCGCGCAGTTGTCAGTTAAAGTAACGCTGCGACATATCACAAAAAATGGCCTAGTTAGGAAGGGGGGTAAATCCTCTGGAAGACAAGTGGTTAAGGCCTCTTCACACAGGCGGTTAGATTGCAGCTTTTAGAGAAACTTATTTACAGCAGCTAAATGCAGACAATGCATCCCTATGGCTCCATTTACACACTGCATTTAGCAACGTTTTCATAACATTCGGTTTTATGCCTTTAGGAAAAATAAAGTTGACAGCGTCCAGTATCGCAGCTATCTGTACATAAACACAGTTAATGGCAGTACAATGAAAAAATAGGTATACAGTTGCATTAGAAAAGGCAAAAATGTACTACCGCAGCTAAACGCAGCCCCATGTAAACACACATAATCGCAGATAAATGCAATGTACAAATGCAAGTGATCTCTGCGCTAGAAGTGTTGGAATTCCAAAAAAAAAAATGCATTGACAAGCAGCAGAACAACCGCCCGTGTAAAAGAGGCCTTACACTTAACTTTTATTCTGTCAACTCATAAAATAAATAAATAGTCATTTGAATGAATATAGAAAGTACTTCCTGTATATTAGAGCATATTCAAATTACAATTCTTGTTTTGTTTTTTGGGTTTTTTTTTAGTTGATAGAATAAAAGTTAAATGGATAAGTTCACCTTTAGTAACATCCAGATGGTTTGAGGGCTTGTGGTAATGTTATATAAAGGTAAGAACAGCAAATCACCTACCATCTGTGGCAGGGTACAGCTGACTGTGGTGTTACCCTATGTTCACACCTAAGCGTTTTCTGCAGCATTTTGCAGAAATGCAGTACAGTCCATTTAACATGATTTCCTATGGGACGTGTTCACATCTCTGCGTTTTCACCCGGTGCACTTTTTGGAAAGGGTCAGGGACTTTTTTGAACACAAAACGTTGCGTTTTTGGTTCTATAGACTTCAATGGGAACACTGCAAAAAAGCATGTATTGCGTTTTTGCCACTTTTGTATGCGTTTTTGATGCTTTTTGCATTTAAAATCTGCCTAGCAACAAGAACATTTTTTAAAAACGAATTAAAAAACCCTGCAAATGTGGGAAAAACACAAGTGCAAAAACGCAAAATGCACCGCAAAAACCACTGCAGAAACGGATCAAACGCAACCTGCATAGGTGTGAACCTAGACTTAGAGCTCCAGGTGTGCCTTAAAGCAACAGCAGCCTTGTAGGTGAACCAGAAAACAACCACAGTGCAGTTAGATAGTCAGTAAGCTGATAACAAGGTGACAGATTACAAGCAGGTTGATGGCAGGCAGGCTAAAGACAAACTGGCAGATGACAAACAGGCCCCAGACATTCCAGGCAGAGCATTGCCATTTACATGCAAAGGTCGGGTCAGTCAGAATGGTACAAGAGATAGAAACTCTATCAAAAGCCCACAGTACTGAGCGTGTGAAGTTCAAACAATGTTCTGGTCAGTGATCCTAACCCTAGGTTCACACCTAAGCATTTTCTGCAGTGTTTTGCAGGAATGCAATACAGTCCATTTAACATGATTTCCTATGGGACACGTTCACATCACAAAAGTTGCGGTTTTGGTTCTATAGAATTTGGGATTTTCATGAGATGTAAGCCATAATCATCACAATTATGACAAATCACAGCTTGAACTATCTTGCTTTGCATGTAATGAGTCTATCTCATATATTAGTTTCACCTTTTAAGTTGCATTACTGAAATAAATAAACTTTTGCACGATATTCAATATTTTTGAGTTTCACCTGTATAACACTGAGATTATGTAATCTTTTACATTTAGAAAGAAAGGTGCACATAAGTGCAGCCTGCTAGCCAGAAATTGTAATTATGAGTTATTCACATGCACTAACTTATAATAAATCTAACTTAAAGTGTATGGTTTTTAGAATGATTTTTAGTTTAGTAATATCAAATATTTACAAATACACTATACAATCCCTTTAAAGAGACCCTATCACCATCCTATAACCATCAAATAGGATCTGCATATGTAGAGCCCCTAAGGTCATCACCTCTCAGCATCCCACAACAATAAAAGACTATAAACCTTTAACAGCATGGCTTATCTTATCCTGATTACATTCACTTTGATCCATCAATTTGAACTTTTGGTTTCTAAATGTAGAACTTTACTTCATATAACTCATGTAGTGCAGGTCAAATGTTTTGTTTTGAAAAGAGCATGTGCTCCACTATACAGTGGGGATCGAAAGTTTGGGCACCCCAGCTAAAAATTTGTATTAATGTGCATAAAGAAGCCAAGGAAAGATGGAAAAATCTCCAAAAGGCATCAAATTACAGATTAGACATTCTTATAATATGTCAACAAAAGTTAGATTTTATTTCCATCATTTACACTTTCACAATAACAGAAAACCAAAAAATGGCGTCTGCAAAAGTTTGGGCACCCTGAAGAATTTATAGCATGCACTGCCCCCTTTGGCAAGTATCACAGCTTGTAAACGCTTTTTGTAGCCAGCCAAGAGTCTTTCAATTCTTGTTTGAGGTATCTTTGCCCATTCTTCCTTACAAAAGTCTTCCAGTTCTTTGAGATTTCTGGGTTGTCTGTCACGCACTGCTCTTTTAAGGTCTATCCATAGATTTTCAATTATGTTGAGGTCAGGAGATTGTGAAGGCCATGGCAAAACCTTCACTTTACGCCGCTTGATGTAATCCCCCGTGGATTTCGAGGTGTGTTTAGGATCATTATCCATTTGTAGAAGCCATCCTCTCTTTAACTTCAGCTTTTTCACAGATGGCATCAAGTTACCATCCAAAATTTGCTGACATCTTATTGAATCCATTTTTCCTTCTACTCGTGAGATGTTCCCTGTGCCACTGGCTGCAACACAACCCCAAAGCATGATTATCCAACCCCATGCTTAACAGTTGGACAGAGGTTCTTTTCATTAAATTCTGTGCCCCCTTCTTCTCCAAACGTACCTTTGCTCATTCCGGCCAAAAAGTTAAATTTTAACCTCATCGGTCCACAGAACTTGTTTCCAAAATGCATCAGGCTTGTCTATATGTTCATTTGCAAAGTTCAAACGATGATTTTTGTGGAGAGGACGTAGAAGAGGTTTTCTTCTGATGACTCTTCCATGAAGAACATATTTGTACAAGTATCTCTTTATAGTGGAATAGTGTACCACAACTCCAGTGTCTGCCAGATCTTTCTGGAGGGATCGTGCAGTCAAACGTGGGTTTTGAATTGTTTTTCTCACAATCCTGCGAGCTGTTCTGTCTGATATTTTTCTTGGTCTTCCAGATCTTGCTTTAACTTCCACTGTTCCTGATGACTGCCATTTCTTAATTACATTCCGAACAGAGGATATTGACATCTGAAAACGCTTTGCTATCTTCTTATAGCCTTCTCCAGCTTTGTGAGCGTCAACTATTTTCAGTTTCAGTTTTCTAGACAACTGCTTAGAAGAACCCATGGTGCTGATTGTTGGGGCAAGGTCAGATGAGTCTGGGCATTTAAAACCTTTGAGATTGACATCACCTGGTTTTCCCAGACGATGATTGAGAACAATCCATGACACTGGCAGGTCTCAGCTTTGCAAAGGGGGCAGTACAAGATATTAACTCTGCAGGGTGCCCAAACTTTTGCAGACGCCATTTTTTTTTTTCTGTTATTTTGAAAGTGTAAATGATGGAAATAAAATCTAACTTTTGTTGACATATTATAAGAATGTCTAATCTGTAATTTGATGCCTTTTGGAGATTTTTTCCATCTTTCTTTGGCTTCTTTATGCACATTAATTCAAATTTTTAGCTGGGGTGCCCAAACTTTCAATCCCCACTGTATGTGGGATGTCATCCTGTTTATCAGAAAGCTTTGCTGTTTAGATTATTACAAATTTAGAGTTAGCTATACATTATATCTTTTTCTTGTACCATTTTGTTTTTTAAATTTACAAAACCATATAATATGAGGTCAAACCTAAACACTTTCAATTCGTATGCAATCAGGCAGGCCCTTGCACTATATAGTTAAATGTAAACCTTAACACTTTTGCGCCAGCGCCTCCTGGCCCTTTCAGAAGCCAGGAGGTGGGCGGGGTTTTAGAGTCATGTGACCGTCGTGATTCGCTGTCACAGCGGTCACATGATCGGAAAAGGTCCTGATCGCAAGGGGGGACCTTTCCATGAGTCACGGATATATGTGCTGGGAGCGCGCCGCAGGGCACGCACTCTAAACACATATGTATTTTCTAATGGCACGCAAATATGCGGCTGCTCGCTGTCAAGGCCCAGACGCCAAGAAGCCACATATTTGCGTGCACTCGGTGTCTAGGGGTTAAAGCGGAGCTCCACCCAAAAGGGGAAGATCCGCTTTAAGCCTTTTTCCCCTGCTCCCCACTTCTGCTGCGCAAGCTCTAAATTGCATCGCAGTGCACCTTTGGGGAGCGGGTACCCGAATATTATTATTATTATTATACAGTATTTATAAAGCGCCAATAGTTCGCTCAGCGCTGTACATTACAAAAGGGGGACAG